TATACCCATGTTGCTCCCCATGCTGCTCCCCATGTTGTATACCCATGCTGCTCCCCATGTTGTATACCCATGCTGCTCCCCATGTTGTATGCCCATGCTGCTCCCCATGTTGTATGCCCATGCTGCTCCCCATATTGTATACCCATGTTGTATTCCCATGCTGCTCCCCATGTTGTATACCCATGCTGCTCCCCATGTTGTATACCCATGCTATTCCCTAGCCATCATAATATTGGAGTTCCCGTCATATATACTATATTTCGGTAAACAAAAATAAGTTTTTGAATATATATATGAATATTAAAATTGATTATATATGTGTGTAAAATAACTCGAGACTCCTAGAGCCCAGGTGAACGGAATATATATGTGTGTATGTTATCAAATCTGTGTATGTAACAAAATGTATGTGTGAATGTTATCGTATACATGTATTTGTTACACATTGTATGTTACCATATGTATGTACGTGTTATCTTAAGTATATATGTATGTTGTCGGATGTATGGTTGTATATTACATATACACATATGACAACTCATCCTGCTGTTTAGATAGTACTTTTTGTAACTGTAGATCATAGTACATATATTGACGTACAAGGCAATTATATAGTAGAATTTGGTATTATTCACCTTATAGAGTCCGAATAAAATTAAAGCTAAAAAAATATATAATCTTAGGCCTATTATAGCACATATATGTACTATAATAGACGCACATATATGTTCTAAAATAGACCCCAGATAGCGTGTTTTAGGCCTATGACGGTTAGTTCAGGTTGCCTTTCCAACATAAATTCAAAACGTTTTCCGGTTCGTCCAAATTCTATACTAACGATTTTTACTTTCTAATTGGCTTTTACGCCAATATATGTATGATTGTCCTCATTGTAACTATAGGTCCTACCAAAACAGGAGGATGGGCTGAATATGGTACAATTTATATGTCATATATACCTAGTTTCTTAGAACGCTGAACACGTATTTATTCACAGAAACAATATATGTTCATAGACTCATCAAGAGTGTCTTTCTTACTCTGAATCCAATGTAACGGTGTTCTTTCAGGAAGGTGAAATATTACTGAGATTAGTTTCGCTTCTAGTTACATCATTTTTGTTGATTTTAAATTTTTGAAAATTTAAATAATTTAATTGTAATAAAGTATTTCTAACATTTATACACGTCGAAAAACATAGAATTAAAGTTTCCAAAACATAATTTTCTTTTCAGGAATAGGTGTAGATGTTAGGGTAAACTGAAATACTATGAAAGGTAGGGAGCATCATTGGTATACATCGTGGGATGTATACATGTCTAAGCCCAAACTCCGTTCAGTATTAAACACAGTTTTTATTGGTAGATTATATCTTTAACGATTGTAACACTCATAGGATACCTATATTACTGCTAGGTGAGCAGAGGCATTAGGCGACCATTACCCAGGATGCAACCCACAACAGTTGACTAACTCCCGGGGACCTATTATATTGTAAGCTGACTGTTAATACTATCATCACAGTCCATCCTTTTCTTTCCATCGATAGTTACCATATGTATAATAATAATAATAAAACATTATTTACATTATATATAATGGCTCACATTCCACAAGTTACTTATAGTTGGTAAGTATGAGGAGGATACGGAGCTGCTCACGGGATACTCCCAAGCACACGCCTTACACCACTGAACCACGATATGGTCAACGTAATATAACTTGGTATTCTACTGAATCCTCTTGGGGTTCCTGAGGTATCCACCAACACCAAATGAGACTCTCACACATTACCTTCATAACTCTGGTGTAGAGTAGGAGTTATACCTCAAATGTTTATATTTAAATACACAAAGACATCACATTACAACCTATCCTCTGATTTGACAGTATGATTTAATACTAAGTGTAATAAGTACATTTCCTCACTGTCATATACAGTAAATAATTGCACTTATGGGGCTGTTATATTTTCCTCTCTATTTATTCTCTTTGTTTTCAGCAAGACACTCAAAATTTAAGATGACGTTTTCAAGTTAGAATTGCTGTCCACAAGTTGTAAATATTTACAATTTTTTCAGTTTTATTAAACAATAGAGATTTTATACAAAATTGGAAAATATCCTGTGTTACTTCACAATTTATTGACATATTTCAGTTCTGTTTTATTAGTTTTATAAAACTATAATATCATTATAGCTATAGGTTAAGAACTAATTGTAATTAAGAAGCAATAAAATTATTATTTTCAAAAACTAAGACGGTTAGGTGAGGTCGTGGTTTTCTATTCAGTTTTTCAGGTAAACTCAAATATTCACAATATATTTAACAGTATGATTTAATACTAATTGAAAATAAGTACAATTCCTGACTGCTATGAATAGTACATAATTGCCCTTATTTGTGCTCTTACATTTACCTCCCCATTTTTGGAGGACGGGCTGACTGTAACATCTTTACGGGCTCACCATAGCCCGTGCTACATGGACATTTCGTTCTGAGTAGCTAAATCTAAAACAACAACAACTGTAACATCACTTGAGAATGAACTTTTGGCGACCTTCTCTTGCAACTAAACCCTGATGCAAGAATAATAGTTAGAGGGATAGAAGCCCTAAACCAGAAGAGAGTTAATCCAGAATATGCTGTCATATTCAATGAGACAAATATATATATATATATATATATATATATATATATATATATATATATATATATATATATATATATATATATATATATATATATATATATATATATATATATATATATATATATATATATATATATATATATATATACACACATATATTAATACAGACCCATGTATGGTAAAATACAGACACTGCGTATAATTAGAGGTTTAGTAATAAATACAAATGATTTGCCAACTATAAGTAACTTTTGAAATGTGAAGCATTATATATAATATAAATAGTGTATTGTTATTATTATTATTAATATTATACATAAGGTCACTATTGAGGGAAAGAAAAGGATGGACTGCGAGGATAAGATTAACAATCACCTTACAACTTAATAGGTCCCCGTGAGTTAGTCAACTGTTGTGGGTTGCATCCTAGTAAATGGCCACCTGATGCCTCTGTTCACCTAGCAGTAATATAGGTATCCTGGGAATGCTACAATAGTTAAAGGTATAATCTACCAGTAAAAAAGTGTTTAATACTGAACGGAGTTTGGGCTTAGACTTAATTCTTAGACTCTTAGATTTACCTTAGACTCTTAATTCTTAGAACTTAGACTTAATTAATTTTAAGTTTACACATGTATTCATCCCATGATGTATTCCCATGCTGCTCAATCTGTTCAACAATCAAAAATTGTCGTACTAGAAAATGGAAGCAGCTCGAGAAAGTGACGTACTGTCCCGTTTTCTATTGTGGGTCCTCTGGTTGGTTAGGATAGGACACTTTAACTTGACCGTTTTATTGATGTTGGAAAACCTTAGGAGGACGGGCTGGCTCCCTACTTATCGAAATATTGCAATTTACCCTCAAATATATTCCTATTTCTGTATAGAAAAATTTGTTTTAGAAACTTCTCAATTCTTTGTTTTACGGCATGAACAAAGTTTAGATATATTCAACTTACTTAAAATTGTTATTGTTATTAAAAAAATTAAGTTCAAATTTAATAAGTAAGTTTGATAAGTAAATCAGTGTATCTAATATTTCAGCTTTCTGAAAGAGTGACGGTGTACTAAATTCCGGGTAAGAAAGGAACTTTTTTTTATTGTGTACGAACATATATTTGTTCTATGAACAAATACGTGTTCAGTGTTCTAAAAAAATAATATATACGGTATGAATAATGGTACCATATACACTCCATCCTCCTGTTTTGGTTGTACTTATATATTGTAACAAATCAAAATCAAAATGTTTATTTAGCTAAAAGTACATAAATAGAAGATGAGTTACAATCTTACTGTGTAATTTATAGACAGAGCTAGTACATACAATACTTAAAGCCAGTAATACGCACAGCGTTTCTGGCAAGCAATGAGGACCATCGTACATATTTTGACGTAAAAGGCAAATAGAAAGTAGAAATCGTTAGTATTAAATTTGGACAAACCGGAAAAGATTTTTTATTTATTTATTTATATATTAATTTATATACAATAAGGAACATTGGGGGTTAACAGAGAACCTAGAAATTAAGTTGACTTTACATTCTTATAAAGCCACAAGCACGCGCAGCGTTTCCGGCGTTTTATGTTGCAAAGGCAACCTGAACTAACCTTCATAGGCCTAATATACTCTATCTGAGGTCTATTATAGTTGCACAGTGGCTTTAATGATTAAATTGTGTTTTCTTCTCACAATCCTACGGGCTCACCATAGCCCGTGCTACTTTGAACTTTGTTCCAGGTAGCGAATCTTTAACAACAACAACATTCTCACAATCGGGATATTAGGGTTCGAATCCCAGGCGGGACAGAAATATGAGCACTTTCCTATCACCTAATGCCTCTCTTTACTTACTAGTAAATAGGTTCCTTGAAGTCAGTTGTCAGTTGTTGGTTGCATCCTTCAGAACGGTCTTCATCCTTCAGAATAGGGGTGACATGATAGAGGTTTACAAGTGGATGAATGGACATAACCGGGGGGATATTAATAGGGTATTAAAAGTATCAACACAGGACAGAACACGAAACAATGGATATAAATTGGATAAGTTTAGATTTAGGAAAGACTTGGGTAAATACTGGTTCAGTAACAGGGTTGTTGATTTGTGGAACCAATTGCCGCGTAACATTGTGGAGGTGGGGTCCCTCGATTGTTTCAAGCACGGGTTGGACAAGCATATGAGTGGGATTGGGTGGTTATAGAATAGGAGCTGCCTCGTATGGGCCAATAGGCCTTCTGCAGTTACCTTTGTTCTTATGTTCTTATGTTCTAACGGTCACCAGATGCTCCTGTTCACCCTTTAAGAAATAGGTACCCGCGTGTTGGTCAAATGTTGAGGCCTGCATAATGGGCGAGTCACCTGATGCCTTTTCCTACGAGAACATTGGTATCAGGGTAATGCCTTCAGCCGAACAAGTCTATGTGGGTGGGGACGAGGACAGGTTGACGAGTTTAGCAGTTACCAGGGAGGATGTTCTTAAACAAATAGTAAAACTCAAACCAAACAAATCCCCAGGGCCGGATGAAGTGTTTGCTAGGGTGCTTAAAGAATGCAAAGAGGAGCTTTGTGACCCACTGTCAACCATATTTAATAAATCAATAGAGTCAGGCAGAGTGCCAGAGTTTTGGAAAGTTGCTAATGTGATACCAGTTTTTAAGAAAGGAGATAGATCACTTGCGTCTAACTATCGACCAATTAGCCTAACGTCTATTGTGGGAAAGTTACTCGAATCTATAATAGCAAATAAAATTCGTCTTCATCTTGAAAAACATAAATTAATAATTGAGTCGCAACATGGTTTTATAAATGGCCGTTCATGTTTAACAAATTTGTTATCTTTTTATTCTAGCATTGTTGAGGCAGTTGATAGTGGTAAGGATTGCGATGTTGTATACCTTGACTTTAGCAAAGCTTTTGATACAGTGCCACATGAAAGACTGATTAAAAAAATAGAGTCTCATGGTATTGGGGGTGCTATATTAAGCTGGATTAGGGCATGGCTATACCAAAGGAAACAGAGAGTTAGTATAAATGGAATCAAGTCAGAGTGGGAAAATGTTGTAAGTGGAGTGCCTCAAGGCTCTGTCCTGGGACCTCTGTTGTTTATAATATATATAAATGATTTAGATTCAGGTTTGAGTAGCAACATTTGCAAATTTGCCGATGATACGAAAATCGGTAGGGAAATTAATTCGGAGGAGGACTCACTATCACTTCAAGTTGATCTAGATAGGGTTTTGAAATGGTCAAAGGATTGGCAGATGCAGTTTAATGCTGATAAATGTAAAGTTCTGAGGTTAGGTAATGATGATAGAGTTACAAGATACGAGCTAGATGGTGTTGTGATTGCGAAGTCGGATTGCGAAAGGGATCTGGGAGTTATGATTAGTAAGAATTTAAAACAAAAGGATCAATGCATAAATGTTCGTAATAAGGCAAATCGGACACTTGGATTTATTAATCGCAGCGTTAGTAACAAGACACCTGGTGTGGTTCTCAAGCTATATCTTGCTCTAGTTAGGCCCCATTTAGATTATGCAGTTCAGTTTTGGTCGCCATATTATAGAATGGATATAAATTCACTTGAACGTGTCCAGCGTAGGATGACTAAGTTAATTCCCCAAATTAGAAATCTTTCATATGAAGAAAGATTAACAAAGCTTAAGTTGCATTCACTGGAAAGGCGAAGAGTTAGGGGCGACATGATAGAGGTTTACAAGTGGGTGAATGGACAAAACAAGGGGGATATTAATAGGGTATTAAAAGTATCAACACAGGACAGAACACGAAACAATGGGTATAAATTGGATAAGTTTAGATTTAGGAAAGACTTGGGTAAATACTGGTTCAGTAACAGGGTTGTAGATTTGTGGAACCAATTGCCGCGTAACGTGGTGGAGGTGGGGTCCCTCGATTGTTTCAAGCGCGGGTTGGACAAGTATATGAGTGGGATTGGGTGGTTATAGAATAGGAGCTGCCTCGTATGGGCCAATAGGCCTTCTGCAGTTACCTTTGTTCTTATGTTCTTATGTTAGGGAACTGTTGTGGGTTGCATCCTAGGGAGTTTACACCTGATGCCTTACTGATGAGTAAATAGGTACTCTGGAGTCAGTCGACTGTTGTGGGTTGCATCCCGGGGAATGGTCTCCTGATGACTCTGTTCACCTAGAAGTAAGTATGTACGCAGTAATGTTCTAAAAGTAGAGTTTGGATTTTGAGTTAAGCTTACATTTCTGTGTGTATTCCCCATGTTGTATGCCCATGCTACTCCCCCATGTTGTATACCCATGCTGCTCCCCCATGTTGTATACCCATGTTGCTCCTCATGTTGTATTCCCATGCTGCTCCCCATGTTGTATACCCATGCTGCTCCCCATGTTGTATGCCCATGCTGCTCCCCATGTTGTATGCCCATGCTACTCCCCCATGTTGTATACCCATGCTGCTCCCCATGTTGTATACCCATGTTGCTCCTCATGTTGTATTCCCATGCTGCTCCCCATGTTGTATACCCATGCTGCTCCCCATGTTGTATGCCCATGCTGCTCCCCATATTGTATACCCATGTTGTATTCCCATGCTGCTTCCCATGTTGTATACCCATGCTGCTCCCCATGTTGTATACCCATGCTGCTCCCCATGTTGTATACCCATGCTATTCCCTAGCCATCATAATATTGGAGTTCCCGTCATATATACTATATTTCGGTAAACAAAAATAAGTTTTTGAATATATATATGAATATTAAAATTGATTATATATGTGTGTAAAATAACTCGAGACTCCTAGAGCCCAGGTGAACGGAATATATATGTGTGTATGTTATCAAATCTGTGTATGTAACAAAATGTATGTGTGAATGTTATCGTATGCATGTATGTGTTACACATTGTATGTTACCATATGTATGTACGTGTTATCTTAAGTATATATGTATGTTGTCGGATGTATGGTTGTATATTACATATACACATATGACAACCCATCCTTCTGTTTAGATAGTACTTTTTGTAACTGTGGATCATAGTACATATATTGACGTACAAGGCAATTATATAGTAGAATTTGGTATTATTTACCTTATAGTCCTAATAAAATTAAAGCTAAAAAAAAAATATATAATCTTAGGCCTATTATAGCACATATATGTACTTTAATAGACCCCAGATAGCGTGTTTTAGGCCTATAGCGGGCAGTTCAGGTTGCCTTTCCAACATAAATTCAAAACGTTTTCCGGTTTGTCCAAATTCTATACTAATTTTTACTTTCTAATTGGTTTTTACGCCAATATACGTAATGGCGTAAAATATATGTGGACAATATATGTCCTCATTGTAACTATAGGTCCTACCAAAGCAGGAGGATGGGCTGAATATGGTACACTTTATATGTCATATATACCTAGTTTTCTTAGAACGCTGAACACGTATTTATTCACAGAAACAATATATGTTCATGGACTCACTAAGAGTGTCTTTCTTACTCCGAATCCAATGTAACGTTATTCTTTCAGGAAGGTGAAATATTATTGAGATTGTTTTCGCACATTAATATATATTTATAATACTTTTAAATTTTTGAAAATTTAAAAATTATATGACAGTAAAGTATATCTAACATTTTTACGTGTCGCAAACCATAGAAGTAAACGTTCCAAAACAGGGTTTTCTTTACAGGAATAGGTGTAGATGTTAGGGTAAACTACAATATTATGAAAGGTAGGGAGCATCTGTCGGAAAATCCGACACCATTTAATAATCATACAGATAATAGCTGTATTGTATAAACAAGTTACCCATAGAAAACGTAACTTGTAGTGGAATTACCGTCTAAAGAAAACGGGATATCATCACCACATACTATTATAATTCACCACCTATTATGGTGGGAATTATTCTTAAATACTGTACATTAGTCTTTGGACTTTACCATCATAAAACATCTTATATAAATTAACTTAATTATCAATATTAAAGTAGAGTAAATGTGACCCTTCTATCACTTTCTGAAATCTGAACAATGTAAGCTAGGCGTCAGAGGGAGGAAGGAGGCAGCGATTGTTGTGTCACCTCCGAGACGTGTGGAGCAAATTCGGCTCCTATCATATCTGGACAATGTCGGCCAGTAGCGTCAATAGTATGGAGTGTTAGACATTGCCATTGTTGAGACTAGACCAGAGGCTCACACGGGAGCAAATTCGGCTCCTGTTAATTTACTTGGACGTAGTGTTATGGAAACTAAAGGTGTACCATTATCAACACGCTGTCTACAAATTCAAGTTAAGTGTCTATCCGAAACCCGTTTATCATTCATTTATGGCCATTAATGTCAGGATATAGGGTTACCCGGTTAGATCACGAAATCGCCTCATACTAAAGGTAATTAAACCAGGTCTTTATTGTTCCATGTATAGTGTTTTCTCTGATATAGCTTGTCATATATAGGATTCTGGCTTCACAGCTAGCGCACTTTTGACAGGTCAAGTCGAGGAAGCAAGGCTTTGTACATCAGTTACCTGGGTGATGAAAGCTACCTCAAAGAGGATAATTTGGTGTCTACACCCTAGTTATACCTGGTGGACTAACCTGCTGTACTATAAGATAAGGAACCTTTTCAATGTATGTAGTTACTGTAGTTTGATTGGCTGCATATATATTAATTTAATAACCCCCCCTAATGTGTAGAGGATCGATTTGTGAGATTATGAGATTATTGCAGAAATACAGTCCACTTATCATTATACAAATTGCTATCGAAGTATATAAATTAACGTAAATATAAATTCATATAAATTAAATAAATATAAATCTCACAGGTCGGTTCCCACAGCATCATTGGTATACATCGTGGGATGTATACATGTCTAAGCCCAAACTCCGTTCAGTATTAAACACATTTTATTGGTAGATTATATCTTTAACGATTATAGCACTCATAGGATACCTATATTACTGCTAGGTGAGCAGAGGCATTAGGCGACCGATACCCAGGATGCAACCCACAACAATTAACTAACTCCCGGGGACCTATTATATTGTAAGCTGACTATTAATACTATCATCACAGTCCATCCTTTTCTTTCCATCGATAGTTACCATACGTATAATAATAATAATAATAATAATAATAATAATAATAATAATAAGAGCCTCCATCAAGGCCCTTGTGGATTTGTTCAAATAATAATAATAACAACAATATATTATTTATATATATATTGGCTCACATTCCACAAGTTACTTATAGTTGGTAAGTATGAGGAGGATACGGAGCTGCTCACGGGATACTCCCAAGCACACGCCTTACACCACTGAACCACGATATGGTCAACGTAATATAACTTGGTATTCTACTGAATCCTCTTGGGGTTCCTGAGGTATCCACCAACACCAA